ACTACACTTCTTTGGTATTAGTCGTATGCCAAATGATTTGAGATAGAAAAAAAATTAGATTTTGTATATGGGAAAGTTTCACCTGTTTTGCCCTGTCACAAATAGGGCAAAAATAAAACAGAGGCTAAAATTTGATGTTAAAGATGAAATGTATAATTTAACACTGGGCAAAAATCAAAAGTTTGACTGAGGGTGAAAAAAATCCCTGGGACAATATTTCTTTGCACAAAGTATTGTAAATTTGAAGTGAAATATCTTTTGTGGTATTTATTTTACACGTTAGAAATGTTTGTTTTTTGTTTGTTTTTTGGTTTTTTTTTGCTTTCTTTAAATGTATTTGCATAATAATTATTTTCCCAATGATATAGAAATGTTGTTTTGTTCTTTTTCCTCTTAAAGTGGCCATGAATGCTCTGTATGTTGATTTGTATTTGTGTTAAATTGACATTTCTGATAATCCTTGAATTTAGTTGGCCTACATATTTGACCTCAGGTGAAGATCTGTGGTGTGAGGGTTGATGCTCCTTATACACTATATATGGTAGTTTGGCATTTCTCTAGAAGCTGAGAAATGGACTGGTCAGTACTGAGGTGATCATATCCTTAGTCTCGACACTTTACTCTTATTACTGTGATGTCATTGTGTCAGGACTCACTCATGTTATTAGATGAGATAACCATAAGCTACTACAAAGAGACCATTCTAAAAGTGACCCAGGCTGTTCACGGGGCAATGTCTGATGAATTTAGGGAAAATTTAATCTATAGACCAAAAACGTAAATGGTTACAGAATATCTGTTAAAAAAAAACACAAAAATTTTGTGTTATAATGATGTTTGGAATTTCTCTAGTTGTAGTGTTTCCTTTACAGAGTGTGCCACTTTGTCATTGTGCTAAGCTTTTGAAATATCATGAATTGCACTAAAATAGATATAGACTCATTGAAATATGTAAGCACACAGAAGCTCTATCATAAGTCATTTTCACAAGACACATTACAATTTATTGGCCATTTCAATAGCATAACTCCCCAAGTTGTTAAAGGAGACAGAAATACAATGAATGGTGATTTTTCCTTGTTTTATGTAGGAATGTAAAGCAAAGTGGTGTAAATCTGTTCCCTCCAACAACATTAAACATCTTGCACACCTTGACAACGTCCTCACCTGTCTCTGAATAAATGTATGAACCATTAGATTTTGTGACAAGGTTCTGACTGTGACAAATATAGAATAAACATTGTAACAAGGAGGACTGGTGTTTGTTTTAATTGTTATCAAAGAAAAAAAATATTTAGAATGGCTGGACAATATAGATGAAGAAATTTCAGTAACCTTATTTTCATGTCATTTGAGAAACGGGCATTGTTCAGAATGAAGGCTGTATAGATTAACACATAGTATACTTTTTGTCAGTCCTGAGTTACTGCCCCTTAAAACCAGCATGGTATATCAGCTAATTATCTGACATGACACTTTCTAATTTCGATGAAAATTTACCCAACCCTAAATCATGCTAATGATATACATAATATATTTTGCATTAAAGCAGTTCCTCAGTGTAAATATTGTGATTATGGTAACTTGAAATTTCACACTGGCATACATTAATTCATACAATTTTCTTATGAAAAAATCAACACTTCGCTACATTTCCAGTTAATTTTATTATTCAAGATTACTGTTCTTTACTTCTACAACAGATTATTTTCATTGACACATACATACAAGCACCGTCCCTAAACACATAGAAAGTTTATTTGCGTATCAAAAAATATCATATGATTAATGAAACTGATAGTTTATAAAGAGTAGGGGATGTATGGTCATAATAGAAATATTGGTATGACATCTCATATACTGTACAACAAATTCTCTTTTTCTAAAGCACAAATTGTGCCACTTAAATGGTATTAAAACCGAAATATCCATCCATTTGACATTTTTATCTTTGCAGAGCAGGAACTAAAAAAAAAAGTAAATACATATGGAATTTAATTATTTTTCAATTAAAATTTGCAATTTCAATATTATTATGGCAAAATTTTCAGCAAAAATTCAGCACAAAAACCCAAATATGTTAACATTACATTACGTACCTAATGAATCTTTGTAAAACGTTAGTTTTGTTACATACATGTATAACATGATATTACAATAGTGACTGTTTTATTAATGATATGCAGAGATATTACTCTTTTGACACCGCAGGTTTACAGGGTATTGTGCTATTATCTGTCAATGCAACCCCTCGTCAGAAACCCAGAACATTCTGCTCTGTCATTTATACGATGATGAATACACCTGTGATAAAAGGAATCTTTGTTTGAATGGTATTACATCGTAGGTGTACTGACAGACAAGGTTATTGACCTGTGGTCGTGGTGATACAGTTCAGACATATTTTGCATTATATACAAACTGATGAATCTTACTTTGGTAACAATCTTAAACACCATCATCAGTACGAAAGTTCTAAAATTTGATAAGGTATTTAATTACCCTTCAGTTTTATAATCACTTAATTCTGTCTAATGTATCTCAGTGATCAAATCTGAAAAAAAATGACAAATTTTGAAAATCAACATATAACACAGTCGTCAGTTGTACATATACAAATTAATACAATCTTACAGTTATGCAACTCTGAGAGAGAATTTTTAGGCTTATTCAGGTAACATTTTCCCCAGAGTATAAAGTCAGAAATCAACAAACATCTACAGTACATACTACACTCAATATAACAAGTATCACTCTTACCTGGACTAGAACTTTGAAGTTCAACATTAACATCAACATCCTGCACGCAGGAGGGATTACCAAACTATATACATTAATGTAGTGGACATCATCAGATAACCAGTCTATCAATCAATATCGATGACAATTATAATCACATGATATAAGTTGATTAAGTGATAAGTGTCAAACTCCAAGGTGTCAAACTCAGTTAAAAATCACTTTTATCTAAACAATATATCAACATATACTCCAGTATTATTACAAAATTACAGTTCAACAATACTTTTAATATTCTAACTTTCAAGTTTGTCTTGAGATTCAATGATCTTTTTCAAATACTGAATTAAATACAAACCTTTCTGAATTATTCAGGAGTTATATAGTCTACCTTCTTAATTCATCTTTTTCATTTAAGATGTTCATCAACAGCTTAAATCCTGGACAAGATGAACTTACAACACTAACACAAAAAAAAATTATAGTAACATAACTACATTGTACCTGTATATGTTTGGCTGAATGACAATGAAAGCTGTTTTTCTAAATTCTATTGATACCCTATAAACCCCACTAAATATAAATTACATGAACTAAATTCAGATATTTTAAATGAAGAAATATTCTGAAAACATTAGAAAATCTTGTAAATGAGGATTCTAGTCTCTCTTTATCCTACAATGCAATACTAGTACTACTGTAGTGCATACATGTATTTCTGTGATGAAGGTGGCCATGTTGTCATCTAAATGTCACTTCTTGTCTGTCTTCTACTGGTTGTGTTATAAGAACTTCTATTCTAGATACATGCATTAGGATTATAACCATTATTGTTGTAATTCTAATACAGAAAAATATTGAATATACTTGTGTACAAGATGATTATTTATAAATCTTATCAAATAAAATAACATTAATATTTTTATATAACATATAGGGGGTAAAATAATTAAATTTTTATATAAAAAGCTAAAGCATATCACACTAAGACACCATCTTGACTAGAAGCTAATAGTATTGTAATCATATCATGAATGTATGCGCATTTCTACAATAGCTAGGAAGAATTGTCTTTACTGAGTGATATTGTAAAATTTTTTTTTTTAAAAATTCAATTTCTTTCATCTATATATTTTTTATAAAAATAAATACATTTTATCAAAGATTTCAACCACATGAAACTTCTTATTCTAAGTAACACATTTGAAACTGACAAATATTCCTTATTTAAGTATGTACAATCCATAAAAGTCATCCGTAGAACTGAAAACCAAATATATTGATATCATTTAGATATCAAAAATATACTCCTTCAAAATTACCAACAGGCAAGAAACACACACCATGTTAGGAAATGTACATTCCATAAAAAGAAAAAAATTCACATAATATATGTACATGTATGTACAAGATCAGATGTATATATATATAACAGTAGATGTTGATGTACATTGTACCAAACATTTCACGGGTAACAGCTTTATATATTCAAGTTCGATAACAGGACAGTGGATAAGTACACAAAGGAAATTATACAGCTGTATGTTAATTGCACTTTGATTTAAGGTACTACAAAAAAAACTAACAAACATAAAAACATACAGAAATATCACAGGTAGGGAGTTAGTACAATTTAATACAAATCAAAATAAAGGGAATCACACGACTTTTTGAGCTATCAAGTCTCCGTATACATCTGTAAAATGTAACATCAACAATATTATACAAAAAATAAATTTAAGTATTAACATCAATAAAAATTTGGTTTTTTAACAACAAAGTTTTCTTGTCAAATATATATCTATATATAGACGTACATGAATTAAAAACTTTGATAGTTCTAAATTTACCCTGATTAAAAATAAGGGCTTTTCCATAATTGATCAAAAGTTCGGGGTAGGAGGAAAGGGAGGAACTGTTTATTGTAGATTATGAAGATCAGTGTTTGTAAAAGGCAGAGTTAAAGAAAGCACAATTTAATCAAAATTATCATTTTTACCTGATATTTTAAATAAGTTATGTCATTTTCATGGCTAGCAGGATCCTTCTCTAACCCTTCAATATGATTTTTTTGGAAAAGCCCTAAAATTTAAACAAATTAACTAACAACAAATTCAAAAGGAACAAAGCACTTCACTGTAGGCCAAAATTTGCTCTAAGAGCATGTATTTGTACACAGGATTATCTTGTAAATTCAAATTCACAGGCATATTCATATATATACACATCCAACCATATACTTGTATTTCACAACCTGTCTCTTAAGTGTCTTTATAAAAAATTTCTTTATTTTTGACCTCTAACTCTCTTTCAAACAATCCATCTCCTTCATCCTGTGCCAGCCATTTCTTACAAACAAACTGACATGTCTCATATAGCGGTACTTTAAATACCAATTCCTTTTCTTTTTGTTTCCCCTTTTTGCCTTTCTTTCCTTTACCATCTTTCCTTCTTTTCTCGGTTTCATCATCTGAATCCTCTTCACTGGAAGAGTCTGATGAGTCAGAACTAGACGACTCTGAATCTTTCTTGTTTTTCCTTCTCCCATCCGTGGAAGCACTTCTATTCTGAGAGGAACTCCTTCTTTTTGAGCTTTTGCCTAGTGAAACTAGATCCTCTTTAGAACCTCTCCTCAGAGCACTTTGTGGACGGTTTCCTATGCTCTTTGTGCTATCTTCTAAGGAGTCTTTTTCGATTTGTTTCTTTTTCAGTTGTCGTTTCTTCATTTCTAGTTTCACCTTTTTCAGGTATTTCTCCTGCTCTGCTCTATGAATTTGACGAGTTATCTTTATCTGAAAAAATTAACATCATTCACGATAACACATCCTGTTGGATCTTTCACAAATTTGCAAGAAAGTGAACAATCTTGTATTTGATTCCAATGAAAACAGGAAATGGAAATGTTTAACCTTTTTGGTTTCTTACACCCCTGAAATGATTATATTTATTGATTTGAAGTGGTTGTTGAAAGATTGAAACCATTCATCTGTAAAAAGCTTGGGAAATTAAATTACTTAAAAACAAAAACAAATTGAAATAGATCGCTGCGAGCAAAGTCCTATATTCCTTAAGAATTTTCAGAGAAAGTATTCAAAGGTATTTAAGAGTACTATTTCTTATTTTTTTATGTTTATGTACCTCATCATCTCAAACTCATGTAACTCAAAAACTCTGTTTAATTCAAAGTATTTCACAAGTCCCCATCAAACTTAACACAAAACATTAGAACTCACATAAATCAAATACTTGGTTATGTTGAATTTTTTCCACAGCTCTGGTGACTTTGAGATAACAAGGTTTGGCTTTAGTTTCTGGATAACTACATTGTTCATGTACTTACATTGTCCAAGAACCAGCCAGCCCCTACTCCTGCATTGTCATGGCCAACCAAGATCTTTGACATACTGCCTACATCAACTGTCTCCATCTGTAACAGAATAGAAATATTGTTTAGAAATCCAAGGGCCACAACCCCATTTATTACAGTTTTAACTCTATCAATTACAAGTGGAAATTAAGAGATATTAAATTTCATATTCTACTACAAAATATCTTGGAAATAAGCAAACATTATATCATTACAAATACATCTTACTGTGAAATCGTCGGTCATGTTCCTTTCAAAATTATTCTTTGAGTCGTCTAACATGAGTTTCTTGGTAACTCCCTTTTCACCATAGATCTTGACAAAGACATTTGCATCTGTCCCTGCATATCTGACGTCCCCAGTTTTCACTGTTATCTGGTACGTGGTGCGCGCCCCTGTGGTACAATAAAGACATTAATTATCAACCCTATTTCAAATATCTTAAATTGGAAAAATGGATAAGAAATGAAACAAAGAAAAATACAAATTTTGATACTGTTTTCAAATAAATTTTTCTCATTACTTCTTGAGTAGACTTAAAAAAATAAATCCAAAGTTTTTTTTGTCTGTTTTGATATGATTTACACTGTTGATAAGTAACTTGATGCATGGAAGCCCTGACATTGTTGTTCTCACTCCAGACATCAAACAAAATCACATTATATGATTAATATCTTATTTTGTACAATAATGTACCCGTCACTTATTACTACTTTTTTAATTGAAAAACATAATATTTAATAGGTCAGACAAATGAGTTTAAGACAATTCAAAATCATGTGGGAGACATTATTCAAAATCAGATAATCTTTTTCTTTATTCAGAAAAATTTTATCATTTGAAATTCACAGAAACATTAAAACTCGGTTCACCCCTTTTATTGTTTAAAATCCTGTTTGATGTAAATAATCAGTAATGTAAAAATTTTACTGTTGTAAGCTTGAGGATTGATAAACTTTATATTCAAAATTTGTTTAAATTAAAGTTTGTTAACACAACAATATTACATTTCTACCATCAAAAGAGACACTGTATCATAATAACATGCACTACTTGTCTACAACTATCCATTAAAAGTACACAACAGAAACACCACTGATCTACTACATGCTTGTAATGGCATACCAGTTTCTCTTTAAACAAAATCCTTTAAAATTATTCTAAAATATATTTTTAAAAGAATATTTACACAGTATTTCTCCATTGAAAAAAAAAATAGAAATGAAAGATAGAGAGGTTGTCCTTGATAAAGCAAAAAATCTATTAACAGGCAGACAAATAAATTCAACACAATGAAAAGCTTTAACAATGACTACAGATGTAGATTTCCATGCTTTCAGAAGCAAGGGAGACAATCCAATTTGGTTTTACTGTCCTATTGCGATTTTCATTTTGTGTCACAGTGTGTGTGATAATCAGATAACTGGATGTTATTATAGAGAAAATGTACAATAATCACCTTATATACACTTTGTACATGAAACAAGGATCTGATAACTGTACAATTTATCAAAAGTAAATAAACAAATAAAACAAAAACACAATACAAATATATATAGAGTTCTTCAATGATTCTACAGAATGTTGAAAGATTATCTAAATTTACGTTTTGGTATGACTGGAACAATATTTCCTGAAAAGAAACAATACTGTACAAAGATAATGTCACAGAAAATGTTATGTTGATTTCAATAATTACTGGTGCACATGTCACTATCTACCAATCAGACAAGACCAGTACTATGTACAAACTACATGTGATTCTCAAGTTCTGCTAAGACAACTGGATATGTCCTTTGTGTCACATGCATCTTATGATCATAAACAACATGATAATTCACTACCAACACCAATAGTGCAATACACAGGGGCCTATAATTACACAATTTTTTTTATTATTATTATTTCATTGGTCACAGAATTAACTTAAATACAAATAATCACATGTTTATTGGAACTCTGTTAATCCAGCCATCACCTATTGGGTATTTAGTCTCTTGCAAGTGAAAATAGATGGCTTTAGTTTAATAACCATACAAAATTTGAACAAAAAAAACTTTGTCCAAAATCAATTCTGCCAAAATTTCAAGGTAACTTTGGCAACAGTGCACACAAAAATTCTGTAAGTGTACATGTATGTCTATCAAAATAGATATGAACTACCTCAAGTAACTAGAAACCTATGCTCATTACAGGCCCCTGTGCCTCAGATCCTGTGTGGATCCTGATATTGCTCGTGTCTAAAATTAGGTCTTGTGATTGATACTGCTGCAGGTGTAGAAATCCTATTAACACAATTTTCATAACATATTTTTCTATCAAGTCTAGTTCACAGACATTTTAGTATCAATGGGATCCATCACCAAGGCAATTCTAATGTCCTGATCAACACAATATTTATATGTGATGTAAATGCAGACATATACTAAAGAAAAATATAAAAGATTATAAGAATTGATAAATTTCATATCTCGGGTATTTTTTTTTCTTCCATTTTCAATGACTTTTTCATTTTGTTTCAATTATTGCCATACAAATTACACCTACCTTGTATTTTATTAAATATTCTGATATTTTACTTACAAATGAGATATGATAGCACAGACTTAATGACATTCATTTATCTATGAACTGCAAATACATCTAGAGTATATCACATGTGATTGATGACATGGTGAAGTGAGCTGCAGTGAAGTGAGCTGCAGTGAAGTGAGTTGCAGTGAAGTGGCAGCACCTTGTGTAACAAGACAACACACAGGGATAACGTAGGTGTGTGTATATATACATTACCTTTTTCATCTGTAAACATTTAAGTTTTAGTAAAATTTGATACCTTATGTTCAAGCTTTAAAATACTAGTATAATCACAGAAAACAGTGGTCTAAGGAAATATTTCTACCAGTAAGTATGTTTAAATGAATATTCCAGAAAGACAGGAATGTAGAAGGTTACAGGAAGTTTCTCAATACACCTGGTAAAGGATGTTCATTTTTAATTTTGCTGTGGTGAATTGTAAAGCCATCATATTTAATGTATTCAGTTAAATTATGTCAGCATTAAGGAACTGATGTCTAATCCATTAATGTACATATTTTAATCTTTTTTATCGTTAATTCTTTAATGCTAGTATCAATTCTTATTGTTTTGATGAGTGAAATAAGACCTTGGTAAAGAAACAAACATATAACATTTTACATGAATCCCACAACACATACATGTACCATAAAACATTGAGGCCAGTGGATTAACCAAATTACAAGTTAATTAAAGATTTAAATTATAAATATGCATATGATACTTGATTCATTAGCATGATACATATTCATGAATATAAACATATTGATATAAAACTGTTGAATCCCATTAAGTTGAATTTGATTTACATAACAAATGCAAATACTTTTATTTAGTTTTACAAAATTTAAAATAATTGAATTTTTTTTTTAAAACACAGAAGCCATATTTTAACAGTGATATTTTCCAGGTTTCTGTTCTGAGATTCCATTGTATAGTGACTGCCAGATCAGATATCAAATTATCATTTTAATTCAAACTTTTAAATAAGATTTGACTATTTCAAATTGGTTGAATAAGCAGTAAAAGTATATTAAAAATCTTGTTAGGAAAACAAAAACTAGAACGAAATCTGAATAATTGATTCCTACATCAATCAAGCGAAATTATATTGTATACATCATATACATGTACAATGATATACCTACTTGTGAAATGTTTTATGGCGGGCTTATTTTATTTTTTCCCTTGACTAAAAGGCAATTTACCCTCGGTTAGTAAAAGTTGTTTTAAAAAGTCCAATGAGAACTACAGCAGAAATATACATGTAATATATTTTGGAAGATGAAAGGAAAAAAATCAAATGAAAAGAAATTTGTTTTGTTTATGGAATATGTTTGAATTTGCATGTAATGTACAGACAGAGTCTTTCTCAGCCACTCACCAGAAGTAAGTTCCTTTGGAAGAAATTTCTGTGCCTTGATATCACGGTAGAGTTTTCCATCTCCAACATCTTTACCAATCCAGCCGTTGTATATAAAATAGTACCTCTGAGATCTATTAGAGTTGAGGTAAACTTCAATCTTCAATTGGAAAAGAGAGGCAATGATTAATAAGCTCACTTGTTAATTTGCACTAGATGAGATTTGAGTAGTATTTGACCACAATGAGATAAAGTTTGATGGTAAAAGGAAATATTTACAATAATGAAAAATAAATCACCACCACAAAGTCTAAATTTGTGACAGATCAAAATACAATGTATACAGAAAATTTCAAACCAAAGTAGGGTTAACTCCTTTATAATATAGTTACTGGTTGTAAGCAAATAACATGGATATAGAACAAAGCAGTTTTAATCTGAACACTCCAGAGAAAATATCCATCTCAAGAAAAATCACTGATCCCTTAGAGACGTAACACTTTTTGTGGAAAACTTTACAGAAGAGTCCTTCAATTCTGTTGCTATATTTTAAATGGATGACTAAAAATATTATACAGATTAATCATCATTAAAGGGATACACACCTTCATTAACAAATTAAATGATCAAAGATTTGGAGTCATATCTGTTTCCTCAGGTAAAATAAGACCACAAGCTCCTCTATGAGATAATTCTGTAAATTTTTATCTCCTTTACTAAACATTCCCATGGGAAATATTGTTTTCATTTATCAAAAATATAAAAATATATCTCATATCAAAATATCATATCAGGAATTAAAATTTCCAAATTAAACCATGTTCATAACTTGTAAATAATAGTATCCAAAAATGGGAGAGATTTCTGGAAATCAAAGCCAATATAAGCATGTACCAGTAAATTAAAGATGAATTGTCACATTATTGTACCTGTATATAATGATAGAAAAAAATGACATCTTGTTTTTCCTGATCTAAAATGTCTCCCTGATCATATAGTGTGTTTACTCTGATTTAGTGTGTTTTCCCTGATTTAGTGTGTTTACTCTGATTTAGTGTGTTTTCCCTGATTTAGTGTGTTTTCCCTGATTTAGTGTGTTTTCCCTGATTTAGTGTGTTTCCCTGATTTAGTGTGTTTTCCCTGATTTAGTGTGTTTACTCTGATTTAGTGTGTTTTCCCTGATTTAGTGTGTTTTCCTGATTTAGTGTGTTTTCCTGATTTAGTGTGTTTTCCCTGATTTAGTGTGTTTACTCTGATTTAGTGTGTTTTCCCTGATTTAGTGTGTTTTCCCTGATTTAGTGTGTTTTCCCTGATTTAGTGTGTTTTCCCTGATTTAGTGTGTTTTCCCTGATTTAGTGTGTTTTCCCTGATTTAGTGTGTTTTCTCTGATTTAGTGTGTTTACTCTGATTTAGTGTGTTTTCCTGATTTAGTGTGTTTTCTCTGATTTAGTGTGTTTTCCCTGATTTAGTGTGTTTACTCTGATTTAGTGTGTTTTCCCTGATTTAGTGTGTTTCCCTGATTTAGTGTGTTTTCTCTGATTTAGTGTGTTTTCCCTGATTTAGTGTGTTTTCCCTGATTGTGTGTTTTCCCTGATTTAGTGTGTTTTCCCTGATTGTGTGTTTTCCCTGATTTAGTGTGTTTTCCCTGATTGTGTGTTTTCCCTGATTGTGTGTTTTCCCTGATTTAGTGTGTTTTCCCTGATTTAGTGTTTTCCCTGATTTAGTGTGTTTTAGTACCTTGTATAACAAAGTCAATCAGTACCACATGTACAGTTCTATGTGAAAAAGTCAAAATGCTACATACGGGATCCATGCATTTGTGTTTTAAAGAAAAATCTTACACATGAAAAGGTATTTTTTGTCTTGTAGAATTTCAGATAAGCAGAGTACAATAAATCATTGAACTTTATAATTTTCAATAAAAATATTCATTAAATTCTTCATGAAACTTAAAATTATTTTCCCTTTTAGAATGTCAAAAAAGTGGAAAAGAAAGAAAAAATAGATTAATAGATGCTATGGATAAAAGCTACAATGGTGTCTTTATTTTTGCTAACATCATGACGAAACCTTTTTAAAGCAAAAAAATTAATACCCAGTGAAACTTCATGCTGTATATACTGCAGAATTGCCTTTGACTTGAATGACATTTTATGCAATCATACACCAGCTAATTACGATGTACATGTAGTTCTGTAATTTACCTGTGGTTACTACACAGAACAAGCTTGGTACATGTTTTACTTTAACTACCGACGAAATTAAAATTAACTCGTGGTACTTTATATCATGCATAAACAAATCATAAAATCATTTCATTTCCATGCATTCTTGAAAAATATCTCAAAATAAATCAGAGACTTCTAATATATTTACAACTATACATTTGGAAGACATTTTAACATACTAATGATAAGGTACCTACCTTCATATCTACATAAGATGGCTGTACAATAAGACATATACATGTAATTTTGTTTTAAGAAAATCAAATTATTTGAATGATTTTTCCATTCTGTTATATATCAATCTACAAGATACATGTATAAAATCATTCACATGTCACACTGAAATATCTTTGTTTTCTCTGTAGGGGAGGGGCTGGAATGGAGTCATTGAAATCATTTTTTTTTTTGTCACCTTTAGGATTTAAAAAGGATATTGTCCAAATTATCTACAAAGTTTCAAAGTCTGTCAACAGAAAACTGCAAACATGATGAATTAAAACCATGTACTGATACATATATATAAGTACTTACATTGCTGAGATACCAACTTGATGCAAATCCTTTGTCATCATGCTCAATCCTAGAAATCACAAATAGAAATCAAATACATGTACTGGTGTTTGTTTCGTGTACATTTCTAGAAGTAAACTACAAGTCAGATAACAGCTAAGATTCAGGTTGACAAACCACAATTTTATTACTGATGTAACCTGGGATGTATATATAATCTATCTTTTAGAAGAAAAATGTTACATAAACATAGCGGGGTTATGTTCACTCTAATTCATTTCCCGATCAGCTTTCCAAAAAATAGCGAGCCACCTATTCCTTCATCATACGTTCCTCATGTAACTTTTTGTATTTGTTGTATTTGAAGCTGTTTTTTTTGGTAAGATGCTGATAAAACAACAGAGAAAAAAGTCTTTGATTCAAAGGATTAAACATGTATCTTAGATTTTACTCTCTACCTGAGTTTTCTTAAATCTCCTAAAGATGGCACGGCAACTGCGAAGACATCAGTCTTTCCTTTCTCAAATGCCTTCTTCCCTGAAGTTTTGTCCACCAGAAGGATTTTCTTGCTCTCTCCCTCCGACCCATATAGTGTAACAAATATGTTGGCATCTGTTCCGGACATCATTTTCTTCCCCGTGGTTACTGTTATAACATACTCTGAAATCAAACATTCTTTTGTTTAAATTAATATTGAATGTGAACTGTTCTCTGAGTTTTTATCTCAAATATACTACATGACACATAAGACTTCAAAAATAATGATGTATCGTGACCGCAGGAACTAATTGTGGTGTCAGTTGTACAATAAAACCAAACCAAAATTTTATCAGTGTCAGACAGACTAAACATAACCTCTGTAATACAGTAATATACAGATCAATCTAATGACGGATCCTAACTACAATTTTTGTCCATTCACTGTATAGAAATTACATCATTTGGATTTTTCTTAAACTTTTTTGTGAAGATGAAGCTGTAAGACATTATGTCAAGATTAAGCTATAACACATTTTTGTTTAGATAAAGTTATAATACATTCTGTGAAGATAAAGCTATGATACATTTGTCAAGATAAACCTATAATACATTTTGTGAAGATAAAGCTATAATACATTTTGTGAAGATAAAGTTATAATATATTTTGTTAAGATAAAGTTATAATACATTTTATCAAGATAAAGTTATAACACATTTTGTTAAGATAAAGTTATGATAAATTTTTGTTTAGATAAATTTATAATACATTCTATGAAGATACAGCTATATCAATTTTTGTTAAGATAAAGTTATAATACATTTGTCAAGATTAATCTATAATATACTTTGTGAAGCTATAATATATGATACATATCATAACAAGAAAATATCAATATCCCAATATACATTTTTTTATTGTCGTACATAGATATATCTGGCAATAAGCCTGAGCATGGTGAAAAGCCTATCCATACATTTATTATTTTCCAAATTAACAGTAAATAACATTTCATTAATCTGTAATAAGCCCACTCATGACATTGAATCAGAAGTTTTTTGTCCTCATAAGCTTATTACTGGACAAATATGAACAGTAAATTTATTACCTTCCTGTGGAATCTGTTTCACCTCTCCCATCAGATCCCGTTTAATACAGTAGTCTGGGATGTGTATAGATAACCATTTTTGACAGAAGAATGTCCACATTTGTCCAGTTTTCATGTCAGTGACATTGATTTTCTCTAGATACCATGAATGTTTTTTCTCCAAACCATCATGCTAACAACACAACAAAAATTAACATTTAATAGTAAAGTGCTGATAAATAAAAAATCTACCAAGAATTTAAAGACTGAATTCACAAAAGTGTAGAGCTATCTATAAAACATGAATGTCACCATTGCCATGTATATAAGTATCATAGTAGGTTGAATTTGCTGAAGTTAACCTGTTGGCCGTGTTGATATGATAAAGTGTATAACATGATGTTATGATACTATGGGGTAAATATGAACTGAATCTGTTGAAATGTTCTCAAAATATGACAATGATTCAGAAAAAGGGTGATATCATGGATAGCAGTCTATGTGTATATGTTCCCTCAATAAAATATGGCAGGACATCAAAAACAAAGATGTGCAGAAAACTTCTTCCACATAATTTTTATCAACCTGCATCTCTTGAGTTCCTGATGCAAGTTTTTAATCAGTTGTCAACATCTTGCATGAATGTAATGGTATAGGTGAAATAATGAATCAAAAACAACACAAAAATATTGTAGGTTGAGGAAGTAGGGTGTTGCTATCTAGAAATAGAAAATCTGCAATTAACGAAATTGAAATCATGACACTTAAATCATACAGCTCGGTGGAAACCTGTATCTGTCGGTTTTGTTGTAGGAAGATATTAAGATAAGTCACTGATGCAGGAGAGAGTGTCATGTCCTAGATATCCAATGTTAGTGGTAATAACGATGGGCATGGCTTCCTACATGAACATGTGGAAGAGGTTTTTTCCCTTAGTTACAAAAAATATAACTGTAGATCTTTCATGTTCTTAACTGACACCAAAAGATTCCATGACATTTTCACAAAATATGAATATCTGATCAATAGAACTAATAGTACACATATATATAATGTATATTTTTATTACCTTACCTCAATAGTGACCATACGTAAAACTCCTAACCGAGGTCCCTTTAGATAGAACGTTTCCTTAGTGTTTCTTATGAAGCAGAAATTGGACGACCCTCGACCTTTTGTCAGTTTAGTTTTGTCCAAAACCTCTTTGTCTCCGACAATAGTAATGGATACCTGAAATGACCATTTACACTACTGACCTCCAATCAGATCAATATCTTAGGGATGGGGTGAGGTAACTTTTGCAGATGAAGTATATTTTGAAGGAAAAACTCAGTTAATCTTAACACAAGTTTGATAATGAAGACTTCATCAGAGATATGAAATAGAATGCAGCTTTTCATACAGAATATACAGCAGTTTTCTTTAAAGATAAATTGTAAATGTATGCAGTGATATTGATTAACTGAAGTTTGCTTGAAATGGATTAATAAACATGGCAATGAAAAAGCATGAAAAATCCATTTCATTCTGCAGAATATGGAAATTTTAATCATGAATTTGATATTTTAAGTTATTAGTTTGCCAGAGTCCAGTAAGGTATTGGTCATCCTCTTGGGTATTACAATTTCAATTTTTGATACAATAAGACAATCTTGTCTCATCATGACTTTTAAAAACATGTACCCTGGTATTTTAAATAGGAAAAAGAAAAATTATTTTGAGATTTTAATATACATATATTTCTTTGGTACCAAAAACAGCATTCAATATTTTAACACATTGTTTCATATATGTGATAAATAGACTAGTACAGCAGTAGAATTTCATGTTCAGTTTAAAAAAATAACAAAACCTTTGGGTATAGAATGTTATGGTTGCTTGAAAAATCAACACCATCATAATAAGTATGTTGACATAATTGACAAAATTCCCAAAATACCATTGTGACTTAATTCCTAAATCAATACAAAAATGACCATAATTGAATTATTCCAGAAGCCTTACTTACATTAGCTGTAGTTCCAGCTAAATCAATATCTCCTGTGTATATATCAACTTTATATAGATTTTCATGAACAGGAATCCTTTCTTCTTCCTCATTCTTCTTCTTCACCCTTGGACGAGGAGCAATATATTCTATCTTAGGACGTGCTGTCACTGGGCGTTTCTTCCTCTGAAGCAGAAAACAACAAATAGTACTAGATATTATCATGTAGCAGGAAATATCTATGCCCAAATAGGATTGTTTCTAATGAGCATAATTTTCTGGAATCGTAATGTAACACAGTAGAATTTTACTAAATTCAACAATGATGTTAAGTTGTATAATAGGCAGTAATGTAATAATAAGAATTAAACAGAGATTATAATAAGAAAGAATCAATGTTTGAATACTCAAGTAACACAAATTGAACAGGAACCCTTTCTTCTTCCTCATTCTTCTTCTTCACCCTTGGACGAGGAGCAATATTTCTCATTTCTCGTTAAAGAATCATACACTCACCTGAAGCAACATGTGTCGCTCATGTTCCTCCATTGTTGAACAAAAATAACAAAATTTGTTGACATATTTTGCTGAAAAGAAAAGGAAGAAAATTACAAAAACTGAGAGCAGTATTAATTGTAAATATATTTATCTTTAATAATTAAGCTACATCACAAACGTTACTCCTGAAATTCAATTTTAATTCTGTTATAATCATCAAATAAGTGGTTTTCCTGTTGTTACTCATCATTATAAAGTAAACCTAAATTGCAAAACTGCAAAGCATATTACATGTAGATCTTTTTTTCAAGGCAAAAATGCTCAATATTAGATACACTATAACTGCAACACCCATATTTTGCTATTAGCAAAGTAAAGCTTTTCAATAAACTTTCATTTCTTTAAGGAGCTCAATGATGGGTTTAATGATATTAATCAGCATTCAAGTCAAGGAGCTGCTTATTAATCAGCATTAAGCCAGGGAGCTGCTCAAGCTATGAAAGAGTCTACATCAACAGAATATTAGCAAAATATATCATAAGATTTATCATTGAATACTTAATAATTGATTTTAACAAAATTATCGTCTCCAACAAATAACTAGTGCATCTAATAAGGAATAAAAATTTTGTTGCTTTCAATAAATTAAATAATTGTGATTTGAAAGTTTATAATTCCTATATGCACTATAGGTTAAAAGCAAATTGAATTGTTTAAATATTGAAATAAGTATCTCTTTCCAGGCCATGGAGTGAAGTTTTCCATACAGTAATAACCTTCATTGCTGCGTGATATCACAGACTCATTATCAAAATCGTCTGTGATTAATCCTGGCTTTTTCAAATTGTCCAACACGACAGGAGTGGTAAACATTACATTGGTGTCATGCCAAGCAGTACGAACTGCGGAATCTTTAGCACCTGTGAAAAAAGTATCTTCATCAGTTCATTTCAAACTACACGAAATTATATGAAACAGATTACCTGAACAAAAGACACTGGAGTTTTACCATTTGAAAAAAAATAGTATACTACATAATAGAAGATAATCAGACACTTGTAGTGTGTGTACAATCTTCAAACCTCCACAATGACATTTCAAGCATTTAGCAGATTAAGCCCATAAGCAGTTTAGTAAATATAAAATAACAATGTCAGTAATAGGAATTAAGATTAATATTGATGCTATAGTGGACTGGATTTTTGCTTGTGTTGTTTACTGTAGATTTCTGAAACAGGTGCTAGTGGATACAGCAAGAGAAATGGTACAAGCCATGCGTACATGTGTGCGTGATGCGGGGTGGTTATTATGTAACTCCTAACAGTTACAGCCATGCTTATTCTATAAACAACAATTAAGTTCAAAACTCTTAGAAGCAGTGGTTATGAATGAAAAGTGTTATCACAGATCATCAACGAAACACTGATTTTCCCATTCGTCTTCGTCTTCTGAAAAGACATTCTCTGTGTGTACATTTCCGATTAATGCACGAGTGAAAATATATGTACCTTTTGTAACCGGTATTGCCTCGTTTGTCTGCATGACGTATTTCATCCTAGGTCCTTTTATGTTCATTGACTCCTTTAAATGTTCCTTGTTGATACGTGTATTATGACACAGCGCCTGAAGATCGTCACCATACAACTGAGTATCAAATGAACCAGCCCAGGTATCTACATATCGCTGTTTTGGGTCCCTGTAGTCCACAGACGCGGGCCGGTGTCGGCGTGTTGGAACAGCTTCATGACGATCCATAGTTTAAAATTCAGCCAAGAAGATCTTATAGATGGGTTGTTAGAATCAAAATCCCTATATTTCAGATTTGTTATCAGAAAATCACTGTTTTTCACTTGTGTAGATTAATGAGTGGTAATGTTGCCGCCATCTTGTTTACTGTTACCACAGGAACTTGTGCCAGAAATGAGTCGTGAAAACCGAGCACCTGTGCAAGTGTTGTCGTAAACATTTAATTTGAGTCTGAATTCTCTCCCCTGACACCGATCGATTCCTTGCTAACGGGAAAGTCGCTAAGATCTATTCAATACCTCTTATTAATCACTGAAGTGTATTTGAGATATAATACATACACAACTGGATTTCTAATACAGATTGTTGACTTTCATTTCTTTATCCCAGATTTTTTCTTCATAATCACAAGTTTGTATAAAAAAACCTACATATCGCATACAACACGTTATCTGAATTTCTAATACAGATCGGTGACTTTTAGTCGCAATATTTTGTATCATGTTTGAAGAAGAAAAAACAAATAAGCAAACTTACAAATTCCTAAATTCTAAATATTTATACTTTATGATTTCTATTATTTATTCAATTTATTAAGATCAATGTACTTATTTGCAGATTTCTGTATTCACATCAGACAGATTACTAGATGATCCGTAAGCTTCTAATTATTGCTTATAAGGTACATGTATATTTTAAATGATCGTCATTTTTAAAAGTAAAATAATAATCTTCCTGACCAGTTTTTTTTCTCTCTCTTTTAGAAATTGGACGGCTAAGAATTTTGTACAATGCATATATAATACTCCCAAGTATCATCTACTGTTTCATGTCAACTTTACCTCAATGGCATATGTCTAATGCTTTCCCCTTGTTGTAATCGCACAATGTTACAGTTACATCTATTTTTTTTCATTTCGCAGATGTATTTATATACATACATTGTACATTAAACACGGAAACATTTTCGAAAATTCAAATCTGATACATTCAGACGCATATGACGCATTTGTTAATTAATTGATATTGATGTTAACACGAAGGAAGACATTTTCTGACTCGTACCCTGTCCTGGCCTCTAATTCGCGATCTAAATATATCTATAATAGCCGAGATCCAACTATTCCGATTGCGAGTCATCCGACGTTTTCGTGTTCGTGACGTATGTCACGTGATAGATGTTGTGATAAAACGAAGAGAATATTACTTAATTCGGAAACTGCCATCTGTCTACGGGAGCGTATTCCGGCCACGTTGTGTTTTATTTTAACCCGAAATTTCGAGATAGTAACTCGAAAGTTCGAGTTAGTAATCCGAAGTTTTGAGATATTTACCCGAAATTTCGAGACAGCAACTCGAAATTTTGAGTTAGTAATCCGAAAGTTTGAGTTAGTAAGTTGAAATTTCGAGTTGTTATTACGAACTCAAAATTTCGGATTACTAACTGGAAATTTCGAGTTGCTATCTCTAAATTTCGAGTTGCTATCTCAAAATTTCGCGTTGCTATCTGGAAATTTCGGGTTAATATATCAAAATTTAGGATTACTAACTCGAAATTTCAAGTTACTAACTCAAAATTTCGAGTTGCTATCTCGAAATTTCGAGATAAAATTAAACACAACCTGGCCGAATACGCTTCCGTATCTGTCGGTGTTCTAACGATGTGATTTCGAAAAGTGATTTCATCAAACAATTTGTAACGACGCGCACCAGACTGCGATTGTCACGCAGAAATAGGTCAGAATTACTACTTCTCTTTTAAACGTGGACAAACACTCATATATCACATTTATCTTTGTAATTATTAGTAATTTTTTCCGTCATTACCGTGAAATTCGTTGTATAATCTTGTCCGATATTCAGGATAATTACAAAGATTCGGACTAATTAGAATCCATTTACAGAAGCTGTGAAGCGTGGGAGGGAAATCATGTCTGATTTTAGCAGAATTATGGTTGAAACATTTACGCTGCATTTCTATACTTTCAAAGCTCCTGAAAGGCGAACGAGTTAGTTTACCAAACCTATAGCTCAGTTCTGGGATGACTGAATGTATATCGGAAATTGGATAATATTTTTGGCTGCATATTTTAACCGCTCTGTGTCTTTCAAGACAACGAAACTACAACTGAAACAAGTTAAAGATGAATGAAAACGCACTAAGATAAATACATGTACAGGACTGATGAAAGGGACATTACTGAGTTGAAAATATTAAAGCGTATTTTTCTAAAGTAAAACTAGTAAATTTACACTAACATGGCAATTAAAGTCTAGAGGTATCCCAAAGTTCTTGAATGATAAAAACAGTTTACAATTCTAAATTCTGTAATGTTTGTAGCGGTGGCGCCCCCAACAACGCGACAATGTAACAACGCGACAATGTGACAACGCGATAGTACGGCAATAGTGTCTCTCTAATAACGCGACCGCTATTTTTAAAAAAGCTGGAATGCCTCGGCCACACAGCACAAAGGCCGAATACTAGAATTAGAATGTAGAAAAAATATCAGATCTCAATTTAGTCGTCTATTACGAATCATGCATATGGGACAGCAGACACTACACTATTATAACGCCCTACATTGTACATGCATGGTCTTCAAATTACTGTAGGTCGGCCGCTGCGATATAGGAAAATGGGTTATAACCGTTGATATATCGTAACCCTTAATAAGTGCCAGATGGGTCGGGACAGATTCACTCAATCAACCTATATAAGGCATTGTCTATACCAGCTGGTTATCCTACCATAGATGACGATGTTGCTTCGTTCTCGACAACCCCTGCTTTACTTCAAACTATGTTAAACATATGTCACGACTACAGCACGACATGGCGGTATAGATTTAATAGCGATAAGTGTTCTGTTACTGTGATAGCCAGATTCATTCCCAGAGAACAATCCTTCTGCTGGTTACTTGGACCCAATCCAGTTCAGAAGACTCTCTCAGGTACATCCTGGAGTCCTTATACCAAATAATCATGAACAATGATCTTAGAGTAAGTAATGCGCGCGCAAAGGGTAGGAAAGTCCTTAACGCCATTCTAGGCATTAAAGTCTTATCGTCCTCTATCAACGCTCTTGTATAGATCAATATATACCAGAAAGTTGTGATACCATCGATACTCTTTGGCTGTGAACATTGGTCACATCTTAACCGTACAGATAGTCGGAGATTGAACACTTTTCAGCATTACGCCCTTAAACGCATTCAAAATGTTCACAAATTGACGCGATCCAACATCGCAGAAAGCCTGCTAGGGATCCAAAGAATAGAGGCAATAATAGGCAAACGAAAGTTAATATTCCTCTCTTAACTGATTAACACAGATTATAAATACTCTGTCAAAAGATCATTTCTATACCGCTTGTATCCTTTACGAGTTTGGGAGACAACGTTAGCATTCGTATACATCGAGGCTTCATTCCGGATCTAGTTGCTATACTGCATAAATACAACGTACGATCATACATCGACACGCTCCAGCGGAATTGTGTGTTTCCAAAGAAGCGTGAATGGAATCGTATTGTTAGTAGAACCATCTCGCGCTTTGAAAACGTTGCTATAAAGACTCATCCACTTTCTGTGTAATATTCCAAGCTGGCACTCATTGCGTCAAACACACGTGTAGTTCCTGTGATATGGACATCGGTGACATTACCCACAATGTGAGTGTGTCATGTCGCTCATTAAATACCGTAAAACATGACTTTCTGTTTAATGTTCTCCTAGACTATTTTCTCCCGTTCTCATGTATTTGATATATGGATTTACGTTATCTTGTGTAAATTATTTTTGAGAGAGGGCTTGATAGGAGTTGGAAAACTTGTGCCCGATCCCACTGTTTATATTTGATACAGTAAAGATATGTTTCAGTGGACTACAACAGGCCTTATTCTTTTATCCGAACCTATTTGGTTTGTTTGTTTGTTTGTGTGTTTAAGTGTACACCTATTCAGCAGGCGCCAGCTCCATCCTTCAATCACGAAACCAACACTCTCCCACGCGTGCGTGTCGCTAAAGCCTGTTTCACATCAGCCGTGCGATTTTTTCGTCGTACGATTTCCGCCGCAAACACAATCGCTACCTACTCGCACCCGTCGCACAAACTGCAAATTTGCAAAGCGATCTCCGTACGTTGTTCGCACGGTTGATTCACGAACCGTACGGTGTTCGCAGGTTGAACGTACGAAAAAAATAAAGCGACGTGTTCGCACGGCTGTCATGCGGTTATCATGAGGCTGCCGTACAAATTCTCAAGTCACCGCAAGACTGCCGTAAGAATGAGCAAAGTTTCCTACGACCACTGCACGCCAAGCACGAATTTGCAAGACAGCTGTACGGTGTTCGTGCGATCGCCATTAGGAGGAGGAATTATCTCCTCTTGTCCAGATTTGGATATATGTACACAATGGTATGCGGCAACAGCCTCATTCTGCCTCATTCTTTTGTACACCTTGTCGACAGCTGTTCTCTGGGTGCGAAACCATCGAATGATCTTTTCCGCTATGAACAGAAATAAAAATGAATACATTATACCAATGATTATATCACATTTTTTGCTATCATTGTGGAAAAAATGACATGAAACAAATCGATACATATCTAGTACAACTACTTATTTTGCGTAAAAGTCTCTAGATACATTCGAACACGAAATCAACGTAGACACACAGTTTATATATGGTCGATCTGCTTTCCCGTGGAGCCAAACTTAATATGACAAGTTTATATTAACACTTAGGTAAAACATAGCATAATACACAGCAAATGTAAATTACAAGCATACCGGGCTCATTCAGTTGTGCAGCTCTGATTTCTAGTTGCTTGTCCTTATACTGATTGTCGGCGAATCTCCGATGACTTTTTTGGTAAAATTCTGGATGTTCGCTAAACCACTGCATATGTGTATTCTCTTGCCGTGAAGTAAAGGCATATTTGTCACTCCTGTACAAGCACGTGCCTTCTTCATCTGAATCCTGGGTTAGTGGTACCTCGGTTGTC